TATCAAGTTAAATTGAAATTTATTTCATTTTATTTAGTTTAAATTAAAAAAAAAATTTGGCATTTTGTTTTTTGCAAATCTTAAAATTAAAATTTGACATATGAGAGAGTGTAAAAAATTTAAACCTGCCTCACAATCATTATCATACAAACCCATGTTAGCGAGTGCAATTTTTTCCAGATGTGTATTATTTTTTATCGCTAATAAAAGTCGTTTCACTTGTGGAATGGGTGTACGCTGTAATGTAATTATCGAATTTATTAATTTTTTATAATCTTTTTAAAATTAATCTCAAACATTATGAATTTAATTTTCTTATTCATAGTTTTAAAAAAAAAAAAATTTTTTCTTTTTTTTAAGCGTAGAATTACAGAAGAATTTTGAATGATTTTATTGAAATGTGAGCATTTGGTGTATTCCTTGAACTATTAAAATAAATTGATGCAACATACTTTCATGTTGTTTAAATTAACTTGTTTCAATTTAGGGTCATCCATTTGTAACTGTTGTATTGACCAGTCCACATCAGTGTCATTATCCGGCTCCGTTGGTCTGGTTTGTTGAGGTAATGAGGATTTAATTGGGCCATTATAATTACTACAACTCATAATTTGTTCCGCTTCCTCCCAACTTATTATACGATTATCGCTCATCATTTCTGTAAATAAATAATCAAATAATAAATAAGTAAATAAATAATTTTCAATAAATAATAATACTGTTTTTAGCAAATCTCTTTTACATCTCATAATTTACTGTTATGAAAAAATAAAATTGGCTGAAATATAATTTGAAAAATTAGCAAGCAAAATTTGCAACCAGAAAAAGTTAACTTACACTTTTGAAGGCATAACGTAAATTTAGAGAAATTTTTTTTTTCAATTCTTCAAAAATAAATAAATTTACTTAATAATTCTTTCATTTCATCGTTCGGTTCTTTTTCTTCAAGCGCCTGAATTGCATTTATTAAATCAGCATCTGTCATCATCTCGTTTCGCTGAGCCATCGTCATATTTACACTATAACTTTTATCTTTTAACAGTATAAAAGTATTGAATTGCTCGCAACATTTTCACGGAATTCCTAATTTTTCAAAATAATTTACAAAAATTTCAATCACAAGTTAAGATGAAAAGATATTAAATAATTATAAATCAATAATGCATTTTATAACATTGAGTACGTTGGAAGTAAACAAACATTTCCATAACTGTAATGCATAATCTCATTTTAACTAAATGTTTGAAGAAATGTTTGAAGTAATAAGTATAAATATTTAGCATGTACGAAAATAAATATTTTAAATATTAGTGTAATTTTATAATTATTAGTGCTACAAGATAAATGTTAGCTTAATTTCGAAATTATTAGTACTACATGAAAAATATTTTAAATATTAGTTTGATTTCGAAATTATCAGTGCTGCAAGATAAATACCAAAAAAAAAAATATTATTATTGCTAAGTAGAAATACTTAGAAATAGAAAATTTTTTAAAGATGCGCAATACATCTTCAGGGACAACTATGAGTTAAAACAAACAAAAAACAACAAAGATCAGAATTGTGAATAGCTAAAACTGAGTTAACCTTCGATATGAGATGTAAATAATACTAAAAATATCCCAATAAAATCCCAGCAAAATAATCATTGTGCAATTTTCATTCTAATCAATTTCACTGATATTAAACATTACAAATAATTAATAATTTTATAGGAAAAAAATCTCATTCTATTTTAAATCTTTTTTTTTTGAACATTAAAATTGTCACTACCGAAAAACATTTTGAAGAATATTATGGGAATTTCTTCCTGACAATAATCCATCAAAATTTCATTTAATCATTAATTAATACATTATATGTAATGGAAAAAATTTATCTAATTAATTGAATGAAATAAAATAAATTTGAATGAAAAAATTGGAAAAAAGTAATATGCTTGAATTTTCCAACTAAAATACCATTTTTTTTTTCAATCAAATTTCGAAACAAACAAACAAACAAACAAAACAAAACAAATAACTGTCTATTATTTTTGTACTTTTCGATTAAAACTTTTCCATTTCCTAGATTATTTAGAAAAGATTTTATTACAGCTTTGCCTACCATTTCAAATAATGTAAAACATCATCATCATCATCATCATCATCATCATCATCAT